CATTCTGTCGACTTGTACTGTTGGTCAGTGTGCCAGATAACTGTTGGTTGCATACGTAGTAATCATAAGAATTTTGGCCAACACTATCTGTAAAATGATGATAGATGAGTGTATGAACAGTAGATTTCGTTCTAAAAAATGTTTTCACATATAAAAAAATTTATTCGTTAAAATATTCATCTGTTTACATAGAAATTTAGTTGATGTAAAAGCACAAATTTTGAAGATTTTTGATTATTTCCGATGAAAATCTTTTCTGCATTACGTATATTGAATGGATGCAAAATTTAGCATTTGTTACTGTTCTGTAATAATGATAATACATTAGGACGGGCACAAAGTGATCATACATATTTATAACTGAAAGTGCTCTCTTTCTGTATAGCGACGTTATTCCCCAAGGATGATGATTTCTATTATATAAGGAATCTGTTCCTCTTCTTCTTCACATATTCTTAGTATTATTTGTCGCTTGGGTTCCTAGTGGAACATACCACTTCAGTAGCACGTCTCCATTTCACTCTCTTCTCTGCAGTCTTTTCAATCTGGCTCCATAAGCTTTCATTTCTTCCTCATTTAATCTCCTCCATGTCACCCTTAACTCGAATGTCCAACTCGTCGTTTCCCCTTTGGATTACACTCGAGCGGATGGTTTAGCGTGTGATGTCCCCAATCGGCCTTCTCAGTGTATGCCCAATCCAACCCATCTCCACTTTCTTCTGCATACACGTTGGGCGATAGGTTCTTGGTTGGTTCGTTGCTAGACAGAGTGAGTTCCTTGTTGCTTACTCTTATTATTCTTGCCGTCTGATCTCATCTTCAGTATCAAGTGAGCTTAGGCGGCAGCTGTTGATGATGTATGTCTGTAGTTTGTTGGAAATGCTTTTCGTGACATGCCAAGTTTCTGAACCATATAGAAGCACTGACTTGACGCTGGTGTTAAAATCCTGAATCTTGTTCATGCTGAGTGCAGTGTAGTGGATCTCCACACTGATTTCAGATTAATGAAAGCCTGTATTGGTTTTCCGATAACTGGCTCTGAAATCCTCATCTTTCAAAAACTTTGCCAACTGAGAGATAGCCTCTAACTTTTTTTTACTATATTGCAAGTGTGATAGGAAAATTTGGTTGGTTTGGTAAGCATGAGTAGTTAAGAAGTTTCTTGATTCTCCTATCAATAAGTTACATCTCTGAGAGTACTTGGGTCAAACGACAGCTATCTGAAATGACCAAACTGATAATCAGTATGATGCACCCCTTCTCTAATTCAGTTAGATTTGGATTGGAATGAGAAGCTCTTGCTAGGCAACGAGTGTGAATACGTAAACGGACAGTTATGGATCATGGGACAATATGGCAGTATGGTGAAACCTCTAGCAATTAAGACTAGGATCTGGTCAGTGGTTGGGTGTCATAACCCAGCACTAGGCCGGTCACCCAGAGACCTCTGGTTTACATTCTCTTGCGATGCAAATTTCTATGTCACGCTCAATCACCACCCTGCACTGAAGCTACACCTATGAGAAGACTGATCGTAAATGAAGTTTCACTCGGTAACTACGTCTAGATTCTCTTACTGAACCATACGTCATGCTATTTCTTTGAAAGCCAATAAAGGGGGTTGGATACCAGGACTTCAGTTAGTGAAGCAAGGTTCAGACTACTGACATACTGATCGAAAGTAATTTATCTTGACCAAAAAGACCACAGATAACAATGCAGGAATAGTTCCAGAGCATATGAATTATACACCTTGCTCCTAATGCATTTCTTCTCATTAATAAATCTTATGAAAAGTATCGAAATGTTTGTCACCAAGACAAACTATGATTGGATCTGGTCTCTCTTGCAAAGACTTATGACAGAGGATGTATCGTTGTAGCCTTCAGAGTATGATTAAACTGGTTGAATACATACGATGATCTATTGGTTATAATGTAGTAGAATAAAGAAGCTAACAAACCTGAGAGTTGCATGAAGTAGATTCTATTAAGGTAATTATGATCTATTCACCTTAATGAACATTCCCCGGATATATACTCCAGTTGACGCTGTGTAGTAGTTCATAAGTTATCAAAGAAATGTAAAATGGAAATTCTATGAAACTTAGTGGGGTTTATGTGAGAATTTATGTTGTCGACAGTGCTAGAATGAAAAAGCACTAATATGTTGCCATATGCCAAGTAATTCACAATGGGAAGCTCAGTGATGTTTTTGAAGTGAAGACGGGAAGGAGTGAAACAAGGCTGCCCACTATCACCACCCATGATATTCCTGATTGTAGTGGACTGGATCATGCAACAGACAACTGTGAAGAGCGAGAAGAGGGAGATACGCTGCCCGGACTGGGGAAAAAAATCCTAGGAGATCCGGATTTCGCCAACGATGACTTGTGTCTAATGTCTTGTGGCACAAACTTGAAGATGTACAGGCGAAAACTAACAAGTTGACAGAAGAGGCGAGGCGAGGCAGGGCAGGGCAGGGCAGGGCAGCGAAGACGGGACTTGCTTCAGGTGAACGTAGAGTAGATAGAGGTGATGAAGATACCCAACCAACCAACAACAACAACAACAACAACAACAACAACAACAACAGCAACAACAACAACAACAAGAAGCTGCAACCACCATCAATGAGAGGAACTTAAAGGAAGTAGCGTCCTTCATCTATCTAGGCAGCACTGGCTCAACTACAGGTGGCACAGGCACAAACGAGGACGTCAAAGCCGGTCAGGATCGGACAAGCAAGACAGGCCTTCCTTCATTAACCTGAAACCAGTGTGGAGATCCTCTGCACTGCACTGCACTGAGCATAAAGCGTGAACAACATCCAGATTTTCAACACCAATGTCAGTCAAGTCAGTGCTCCTGTATGGTTCAGAGACTTGGCGCATTACGAAAGGGATTTCCAACAAACTACAGACATTCATCAACAACTGCCACCCACGCTGGCTCCTTACTGAAGATCAGATGGATTGCCAGAATAGTAAGAATAAACAACAAGGAACTCTGACTGACTGGCAACGAACCAACGAAGAAGCTATCGCTGAACAAATATGCACTGGAAGGAAGTGGAGATGGATTGGATTGGGCATACACTGAGAAGGCCGACTGGGGACATCACGCACCAGGCCAGGTAGTCGAGTGGAATGCAGATGGGAAGCGACGAGTTAGGTGTCATAGGTAGGGGTGACGTGGAGGAGATCGTGTGAGGAGGAAATGAGAGCTTGTGGGCTGTTGTGGAACCAGGTTGAAAGGATTGCAGAGAAGAGAGTGAACTGGAGACGTGCTACTGAAGTGGTATGTTCCATTAGGAACCCAAGGGACAAATTATAATAATAATAATGTTGTCCGATTATAGTTAATATCTGGAGTTGATAAAGCTTTGCTTTTCTTGGAAGGGGGGCAGACTGAAAAGGTTGACAATAAAATAAAATACATCTTGTTGTTCTATAGAATACTATTGATAGCAACCCTGTTGTAAGTAGGCAACAAATATAATCAAATGTAGAACAAAAGCCTTCAAAAATGTTGGAAATAACGGACGATCATAGGATGTTTTCTCAGCGCTATGATTACATTTTACGCCAATGAGACAATCCATACTAATCCAAATGACTTTTCGTTTGCCTTAAGAAGGATGTTTTCTCACAGTATGAACAAACTGTATCTGTTACTTGCCATCAGTAATCAATTTGAGATTTCATCAGTAACTTTTACGGGTAACTAAGGCATTCAACTCTCAATTATATTCTGCATGAGGTTATAACAAACATTTCTTATTGTATTTGTAGGTATATTTATAATTTTAACGCTTGTTTAATTGTCCTGATATACAATACAATATTCTGATGGTTTCAAATTTGTTGACCCGGTGTCAATGCAATATTTTAGTTTATACCTCACTTGTCTCCTATCTTCATACTATCTAATGCAGGTGGATCACCAGTGTTCAAAAAAGTGACAGTATTTCGGAGACATTATATAAAGAGATTGGAGTCAGATACAGGCTAAACAAGGTATCATTTAAAGTGCAATTACACGTAACATTTCAATGAAAGAGATAAATCGGATAATTAGGCGCATTAAGAGATTTTCTGTATTGATGAAAACTTTTAAGAATTTGAAGATTACAAGAAGAACAAGTCAGCATCCACATGAGACTGTGAAATGATGGAAAATATTTGTGACTCAGGCTGAGGATGATGGTGGCTTGATGTTCTCTGAGCTATGATATTTTGTCATGAATGTTTCATTATCAGGATTGGTGACATCTTCACCACTAACTTTATAAACGAGTCATTAAAATAACATAAACAATAAATGAACAATAATGAAATTTTTTGGTGTGATGGTTAAGATGGAGATAATGTGTGGATACATCGACAACACTGAGTATGGACCTCAACCGGAAAATTTACATTCCTGTACAAGACCTAAGACTTCATCGACTGATACAATGTTTTAGTCTGACCAGCTACATTTAGATAACTCAATCACCCACTTAAAGCAATTGCATATCATTTCATACAGTCAGGATTTGAAATGAATCTCTAAACATACATGGGCTGACCGCTTATCATCTCTTAGGACATTGATGCTACCGCGCAAAACGAGGATTTCAACTTCACAGTCACAGTTAAGAATTGAACACCAATGCACTAAATTTTAAATAATTCAATGAATGTATTACAGAAACATGCAGGAGTCTACTAATACTGCTCTATCCCTATTGAATGAATGAAGTGATAGGAGGTTATATTTACTCATACTCTCAGGAGTTCCTAGCCCCTGTTTAAACCATCTCCTTTTCTTAGACCAAAAAGATATAAACGAATTGCAAACTAGTCCGTATTGAGACAAGAGAAAGTTCTATCCTATAATTGGATTATCGCCTTCTACTAGCCACCTAGTACTAGAAATTGAAGGAAGCGAGGTGGGTAGAGGTGTTACCTACTATGTAATGGTCTCAGTAAATAACAGACATCTAAAGCTTTACATCCACACTCTGAACACCACAACCACCGATATATCAAGCATTAAATAAAATGAAAAAGGCAAACATTTTGCTGTAAATACAATGATTTTCATGTTTATCTAGCTATATATATAAAATTAAACGTTTTGCTGTGTATAACATATGTACATACACATGATTTTCTATTGAAAGTGAGGAATTTGATAAACAATAAGAAATTCGATGAACATGACATGAAGAGGTCAGATTACTACAATGTAATCCAGTAATGAGGAATCATATTTAATCATCTCAATTGACAGAAAGTTAGCGGGAGTCGATTATATAACCTTGCTACACATGTACAGTTGAACAAGATGCATAAAAGGCAAAACCAAAAAGGAAACAAAACCATATCATAAAGAATGTATGAAATGATCAGAAAAGATTTTTAAAAATACTTTAAACTGTTTCCAAGTAATAACACATACAAATTTTTTTGAACAAAACTTTCAATGTTTTTTAAACATCGAGTTAATTTACATGTTGAAGAGAAATTTTTTAATTCACTATCAAAAGGTATGAAAGTATAATGATGAATTCAACTGTAGAATTGAAGAAAGGAGAATAAAATTGTAACAACATCAGCAGTATTGGTAATCAGCACATCCTTTGGATAAATCTTACAGACAATCGATTGTTTTCTTACATTGAAGTCTGCCATGAATTACTTGGACTTGACGTTACTGATTTCAGATGTCCATCTGCTTCTTCTGCTTCAAGAGCGGTTTCTTGTTCAACCACTTTCAAAGTCTTTTGTAATGTGACCGTTGTACGATCTAGAGAAACAAGAGTTGAAAGACAGTTTGTAAAGAACTTTAAGATGATAACAACATGTTATAATGAAGTAAATAACTGATGTTGGAAATAGTTCATTTTAAATAAATTCCTTGTAAAGCATTTAGATTCATTCTAGTCAGGGTAGACAGAGAAGCGATTTAACACTCTGAGCAGGCTTCGATGCTATTTTGCGTTGGCTTTGTGCTAGTTGATACGCACATCTTCAGAGTCCTTATGAACGAGCCATACCAGCCAGATAAGTTGGATAAACTTCTCTGTTAATTACTATCATATTTATTCTAATTAAATATATTGCTCCTTTGAATACATCCTGAATACCGGTCCTTTTGATTTGTATTTCGTTATTACTACTTACACATTAGGTAAGGTACGGATTAAGCAGGTACTAGAGCACATTGAGTTAAGTAGGGTTGATCAAGCGTTACACTATAGTAACACAAACCAGCACCCTTACAATTTTTTTAACTATACCAGCTAGAGTCACCAACAATCTTTATCGACTGTCTGTTCAACTTCAGTTGGAAAGAAAGATATCTCTCCATATGTTTAAGACCAGCAGTCATAGAAGTCATAGGTTTGAAAGAAGAAGAAATATTTCAGCAAACAGTCTCAATTTCCACGAGTTTGCTTCTCAAGGCTGTACAATTGCAAATTTACACATTTTTCTTGATTCTGTTAAGGTTTAATAGTGTTAAGTAGTTATTAATTGGTAGTGAAGATTAATCACAATATAACTGAAGTTGTAGAGGAATGAGTAAATTTCAAAAAGAGATTGCGTAACATGATGAAATATTTGAAAACTGAAGTGTGATCAGAAAAAGCATAACAAGAAGAATGAATATTAAATTACATAAGAAGTGAATAGTGTCGATAGAAGGTGACTTCAAAGACTCAAAACGAAGACTACGAAAGGAGAAGAGGTTGAATAATTTTCGTTTGCGTATAAACCTCAGGTTTCTCCATATGGTTAGTAAAAGTCTCAGAGAAGCAGAGGATGCGAAAACATTCGTGTATTAGAAGGCTTATTTTAGTTTTATAAATGACTTTGAATGACGAGGGTCTTGAGATAGGGTTGGTGACACATTATGGGAAAGTAGAGACTTGACAAGTGTAACGCAGTTCTGAAGCACCTTAGACGATGAGTATTTACAACATCAACCCAAGACTTTGTACCCAACCCTATGCAATACTCTTATGGGAACTCTACTACGTATGAAGGATACCACAAAAGTAACTGTGGTCAAGCACCGAAAATATTTTCAAGTCCACTACATTTATTGGTCATTTCACAACCACAAAAAGAATAGAACAAACTTCTAAGCAGTACACTAAACTATATATGTGGCTCTTTCATTGAAGATCTGAAATACTGAATGAATATAGTGACACTGTCAGCTGATCAATAGTTTGATCACAATTCAATTGGAAGCCATTGTGATGCGTTGACAGTATCATAGTCGTGAGCTAAGTACCGAATTCAGTCAACCAGATTAGTGTGTTTAGATAAACACTGTCCCCCGGCATATCACACCACTTACATCATAGGCACAACACAAAAACACTTTCAAATTCTAATCCAACAATTTACCAGCGTGTTCAGATAACAGAGCTTTGTTGTCTATGGACTTTATATGAGTTAGAGAACATCCTGAGAGAAGACCACCGTAAGCACTTCCATGAAAAATATAAATAACAACGGAGAGACTGAACATCACTGATGCATACAGCTCGGTGTACATAACTCATGGACAGACACTGGTTGATTAGGGAATACAATATCCTAAACATCTTTTAAGGCTAGATTAACTTATCTATGGTTATCAAAGGAGCATTTCTATGGCATGTAACTAGGTTGCTGGGACATCCTTCTCAACGAGCATCCTTTTCTTGGGTTATTCTCTCACGGAGAGCAACACAAACAAATCTTTTTGTTCATTAATTGTAACTTCTATCATCACTCAGTTTTCAAATAAGCCATGTTGAATAAATCAATTTTCTATGAGCTTAGACAACCTTGGATCTCCAGTTTAACCATCCCAAAAACCTCTTTGGCAGATAAACCTGACCAATATGTCAAGATACTCGGGTTGGATAGTAATGCTGATAAACAGAATACCTGAAAATTATAAGGAGTCAAATCAACGTCTGCAAGTCAGGCAGTATCAGTCCATATGGGAAGTCGCACTACTGAGTACCGCTGCAAACTACCGTACCTCACATCAAAACATAAAAATGCAAAGCAGTAAGATTAAATTCAAATAAATTGAAATAGTGTAGTCAAACGCCATAGGAAGTCATGGAATGGGAAGAAGATAGATCGAAGCAAATAGTAAAATGTGTTGAAATGGTTAGAATGGAAATAATATTTAGATGCATTTGCTCTGCTGCAGCATAGTATTGACTGTGTCACCCAAGATCGACCACTTCACTTACTCTCAGAACTGCATCAGCTCAAATGAGCTGGTTGCTGAAGAATTCTCAACTCACTCACAAAAGGTTTATTCTGTATTTGCCGTTTTACGTCGTTTGTGGCATCGACTAGTAGGATTTCCTACTATCTATCAAGGGTCCAGTTTAATGAGCTGCAAACTGTTCTGTCTAGTTGTAGGGCTGTCACATATGGCCGTCGAAAGTAGAAGATATGAAACCATTACAGGGTTTTGATCACAGGTGTCTTCGTAGTATTGCTCATGTTTGATGGAATCAACGTGCGAGCAACGCTGGAATCAGATGAAAGGTACTAGGCAAGATAAACAAGTCGATTGATGAAGTTGTGAACATTAGTCGACTTAGATGGCTTTGATATGTACTACTCATGCCCATCCACCACCTACCTCGACCAGTGATGCTACAGGGAGTTGAATAAGCTGGAAAAGGGTTCGGATTGGTCAGATCAAGTCGGAGCACCATTCGACGAAGACCCTGACTATTGGTTTGCGTCGTGTGGTGAGATGTAGACTGCCTGGTTAGGGTTCCCGAAATGAATCACAGGTTGAGGACTGTTGGTGAGATGGCTGAAAATCGGTGATAATGGCTCATATGAATTCACTCTTCGACGTCTTCTAACGCTTGAATATTCGCGCTATCCGGTATCTTGGAACTGTTCAATCTCTCACACAATTTTGTCTTCTTTGATATCACTCTTTTTCTGTCCATCTGTTCTTTGTGTATTACTATGATTTGTGGCAACTTGAGTAGATGCACTTTCAATTTTGTTAGTCAGAACTTTAATCTTTAATTTCGATTGATATGCGGACCGCAACCGGTAAAGTTAGCCTTTCCTACATGTTTGACACATTTTAGTTTGGAAACTGTTAGTCTTTTTACAACTTAACATTTTTTGTTAATATCGCGCTTTGTGAAAGATGCCGACTAGGTTCGCGTAACACAAAACCCCAGTCAACTATATCAGTAAACATTCACAACCTCACTAATTAACATGCTTTTTGCGCAAGGCTTTAAGTCTAGACCCTACTGAACTAACGTGGTAGATTTAAGACTTCACACCAATCGGTCTATGGTAACGAGAGTAGAACAGCTGGAGTCTTCCTATGTTCTTCACCTTTAATGTTCATGTTTCGTACAGTGTTGAATAGGTCACAGTGAACTGATATACAGTGCATTTGATCCTTTTGTAGGCAATCGTAAATCTCATCAGCTCCCTGAAATGGCGTAAGTTGGTAAAAGCTAAATGAGTTTTAGCATCCGTGAAGAGATTTAATCGGTCATCACTTTGTGCCCTAATGTTAGAAGAGCTATTGATTAACTGAGTGACAAAATCAACGTAGAACCTCGTACTAAAGTTCAAACGTTCAAGTCGCCACACTTTACAGTAATACACAAACAACAGGTGGATAGAATAAGACTGATATCAAAGTAGATAAAGTTGTGTGAGACAAAAGATTTGAAGATATGTTACTTTAAATATTCAAGATTTAGATGTCAAGGAGTGAGTATATTTACGCCATTGTCACTGATTTTCAACCATCTCACCAACAGTCCTCAACCACTGATTACTTTTGTCTTGGAGACTCCCAACAAGACATTCCACATCTCTCCACACGACTCACACCAATAGTCAAGGTCTTCATTGACTGGCGCCACGTCTTGATCTGGCCACCATGAGGAAGAGCTACTAGCAAAAGTTGGTCTGGAGGCAATAATCTTGAGACAATATCTTATTGAGATTTTATTGGGTTATCATTGCTGTAAATCGATTCGTTTTCAGATGTTTGAGATGAAAATACTAACGCTAAATTTCATCATATTTTTCAGTGATTTGTTGAATTCAAGTTATCTGCTAGTAGGCATTCATACAAATCACAGAAGTGTTGAACTCCCACTTATTCGATTCAGTTGAGGGGTTGAAACCATTTTATGTTTCTTCCACAATGCACCACCGGTAGGCCGAGGATATGCTGAAGTTAAACGAGGATTCTCAACCGTATCTAGATCACAAGCATTTTCAAATAAAAATGGCCCCTCGATGAATGCATGGCCTTAGTTATCAGAATACCAGCTTCTACGAACACTGTTGCATCGTGTACGTAAAGCAGTAACACTGGAGTTTAATTAGGAAAAAATATTTTGCAATATCAAACTTTTTTGGCAAACACAAATACTTTTTACACAACTTACATATTAGAGACTGCATTGCTTTTGGCTTTTTCTTCCATGATACGCCTAAAATGTAAACTGGAATACCTAAAGCCATTACACCCAAACTAATGGCAGATGTTTTCGGTGATTGATAGACTGTCAGGATTCCAATAGCGATGTCCACAATGAGATACAACACAGGGACCCAAATAGGTAACTACATACGTTCAAAAGATTGGCAGTACAGAGAACGGTCTGGTCAGTATATTTCAATTAGGTTAAAAGAAATCAATGAAAGCACTGAGAAAAGCATAGAGTGACATAACTGAAGGTACTCATGTATGAAAAGTTACTGTATGCAAACTGTACACAATTCATAACACACAACTGTAGGAGCATTGAAACGCAAACTTTCGGAGAGCCATGCTTTTCTCTTTTAAATCTGATTGCCATTTTCGTATTCCTAAAAATCATTATAACTGTGCAGCCAAGAGGAAAGTCACTTAGAACAATAAATGCAAGTATTGGAAAGTACCAGTTCTATTTACACTTAAATGATTCCATCAGCTAACTAGGTAGGTGCACCAGAGGTTACGGTGGAAGAAATGGTAGAGAATATATTCAGAGTTCATTGGATAGAGGCGATCAGTAGGAAGTCCTGATTGACACAAGTCTTCTGCCTGTTGGCACTCGCCAGCAACGCGTAACTGCAACCCCAAGAGAACTGGTGTCCTGTGGGACAGATTGTAACGGGTGTCAGCCAGTGATACAGTCAGAGACGTTACCACCAAGCTATTCTGCCCGCAACTGACGTCTCTTAAGTCTAGACTAGGTATATTGATTGGTCACTAGAGGGTAACTAACTTCATGGTGTCTAGACGTAAGTGTTGATCGGGTTTTATCGATCATTCAGAGTTCCAAAATAGGTCCTTACAGACAGTTTTGGCTTCAGTCACTTTCTGAGACGAATTTTTAAGTAGATAGTGGGGCATTTCATTACGCCAGTAGCTCGTCATCCCATTCTTATTGTGTTGCGGATGAAGGCAGATTTCCTGGAAAAGATCAATCATCATCCTATGCGGACTCCCCTAACATCTAACATATTTTAGTGCGCTTATTTGTTTATTGATCGAAACCACCTTCATTCACAATCCATTGAGGAGGATACCTGTCCATGTTGTTTGGCAAAGCGACTTACTTCTTGAATATCAGGTTATACCATGTTCAGTGAAAATTCACTACAACTGACCGCATTATGGTGTCGCAGAAGAAGTGTAGAAAGAACTCAGGGTGAGTGATTAGCATATTCTAAATAGCTTCACTCAGTAGACTATGACTGGTACAAGTAGACAAAGTGAGGTTGAAGAACCAATGCGAACCAGTAACAACTATTGTGATGGTCTATAGACTGAACTCAAAACATGGAGATTGGAACACATTCGAGAAAAACAGTTTAAACATCAAGGGAATATAAACATTTAAAAAGAAGCAATTTGTGTCGAAGGTTGGGTAGGAGAAATGTTTTTTTTAATGAAAACGTTGGTTTTAATGCTTTAAGTAACAGAAGTTGGTTCTATGCACAAAATTCATGTGTGTAATGAGACTTGATGTCATCAGTATTGAAAGTCTTGAATGTGTAGATGCTTGTTATGAGGTCAATAAATCTGAATCTCAACAACAAATTTGATATTCCACAAATATTTTTTATTATGCCAATATTTGTTACCTTAATTTATAAATCAATTTTACAGAGAAAACTGACAATCACGTTGGCCAGTGGTATAAACTCCTATGTCAAATGAATAAGATTCCAGAATGATATAACGTAAGTATAGAATTTTGGCCCTGTGGTAGGATGTAATTCCATATTACATTAGCCTATTTGATACAGCTCTGTGATATGGTAGATAACGTTTCTAGCAGAATCTATTACACATCATCATATCCAGCTAATCACTCAGCTTTCTGGTTTAGTTTTATAGTTCAGTTATTTGATTCATTCTTTGATTTAATTGATAGTAAAACTTTCCCTACATCCGGAATTATTGTTGCGTCACCTCGATTATATGTGTTAGCCTTCAGACTGACGATCAGAGATTCGATGAGAAACCTCTCCCTTCGTTAAACACTGACCCACACTACTTTGCGGTTGTGTTGTGACGCAAATAGCTATGGCTGAATTCTTCTCTAGATTACTCATTGTAATAGGGTTTATCAAACTACACTTATACTTAAACCCGATAGGGAATTAGATGTGGTCGTTATGGACAGGTCTGATTACAAAAGTAAGATGTTATCGATTCACAGTGATGAAGGAATCCGTAAGTTGGAAGGACGAGACAGTTCAAAACTCGTGAAAATGCTCAGCATGGATTGGTCTAAATTCTATGGATTTGAACATTCACATCTATATGGGTTGCCTGAAACACGTAAAACTGACAATCCGCCACGTCCAATATTGTCTGTGTGTAGATCATCCACGCATAATCCTGCTAAATGGTTGGTAAAACTCTTGAATCCTTATTGAAAGATACACAGTCTTATCCACCTTTTAAGTGATATCAATAACAAAGATAAGACTATGAACGAGATGAGAAGGTATCGCATTGTAGTGCTAGGAATTTGCGAAAGCAGATGGAATGGGAGTGGAGTCTCCAAACTGTCAACTGGAGAATCAATAATCTACTGCAATATTGTCACCCAGACGACAACCACCAGCACACTGAGTATCGGAGTGGCTATCATGATGTCCCCAACAGCATCGAAGGCTCTCATGCAGTGGGAACCAATCTCCTCTTGCAAGATCATGACAGCGAGGTTCAACTCAAAGGAAGGAAGGTCACAATCATACAATGCTACGCTGTACATCTACAAATAATGCAGATCAAGAGAAGAAGGAGGAATTCTAAAGACAACTCCAATCAACACTGGACAAGACGTCAGTTGGCGATATAAAAATTCTAATGGGTGTAGTGACATGAATGCCAAACTGGGAGGGGGCAACACAGGAAGAGAACAAACCATTGGCCGAGAAGCGCTCGGTGAGGTGATTAGCGAGAATGGAAAATTGTTTGCAGAATTCTGTGCACTCAACGATTTGGTGATTGAAGGTGAGGCAGTGTGTTCAAGCACAAGGATATCCACAAAGCGACATGGATTCGATTTCACCAGATGGACACACTACACTAAAAATCAAATCGACTTCATCTCAATGTGAAGAAAGTGGAGACTCAGTCAGCCTACTTGACACAAAGTCAAGAAGGGGAGCAGATGCAGGCTCAGACCACTCACCATCTAGTGCAAGGAACCTTCCAAATCAAGATGAAAGCCTTCAAGGAAGCTGGTGATAGACCACAGTTCACGTTCAACACCCACAACAGAAACTGAAGGACAAAACTACAAAGGAAATCTTCACGTCAGCCATCAAGACAAAATGAGAGATATCGAGGAACATCCCTGAAGAAACCTTTGTGGAAGAACACTGGAAGTCTTTGAAAGAGATGTGGAAAGAAACCTGCGTAACCGTTGTAGGAAGGAAGAAGAAAGAAGATAAGGAATGAATCTCGATGGATACCTGGAAGCTTATAGAGCAAGGAGAGGAAGCGGTTGATGGTGAAGCAGAAGATAAACCAGTACAGGCAAGCATGCACAACGAGAAAAGGAACTGAGTACAATGTATAAAACACTACACTAGACAAAGAAGTGAAGAAGGGTGCACGCAGAGACAACAGACACTTCCACGAAATACAAGCCATTAAGACGAAATGAGAGATATCGAGGAACATCCCTGAAGAAACCTGTGTGAAAGAACACTGGAAGTCTTTGAAAGAGATGTGGAAAGAAACCTGCACAACCCTATTAGGAAGAGAGAAGAAAGAAGATAAGGGATGGATCTCGACGGACACATGGAAACTGATAGAGGAGAGGAGGATGAAGAAGCAGAAGATAAACCAGTACAAGGATGCACAACGAAAAGAGGAACTGAGTACAATGTATAAAACACTACACTGGACAAAGAAGTGAAGAAGAGTGCACGGAAAGACAAAAGACACTCCTACGAAACACTGGCAAGTGAAGCGGAACAGGCTGCTGGTGGGAGAGAGAGAGACCTGACAACACTGTGTCAAACAGCCAGGTTACTATCTGTGAAGAGATCAACACACATGAAACTAATAAAAGATAATGACGGAAACTTAATTACGAAAGAAGAGAAACAAAGGAAACAATGGGCCGACCACTTCAAAAAGCTCTTGAAACGACCACCACCACCACCTGCATTTCGTCCAGAAATACCACCTGCAGCCCAGCCACAGAACTACAAGTGAACACAAATCCTCGAACAAAAGTGGAAGTCCTGAGCGCCATAAAGCTACTGAAGTGCGGGAAAGCAGTAGGACCACATGGAATCCTGCCAGAAGCACTGATAGCAGACGCAGAGACAACAGCGGACATGCTTACACCACTACTGCACAAGGTGCGGAAGGAAGGCAAGGTACCTGGCGACTGGAAGAAGGGCTACCTTGTCAAACTCCCGAAGAAGGGTGACCTCATTCTTTGCAAGAACTGAAGCCGAATCAAGCTCCTGTCCACCCCAAGCAAAATATTAGGCCGCATCATCCCGGAAAGACTAAAGGATGCTCTGGATTCAAAACTACGACCGGAACAGGCAGGCTTCAGGAAGTACAAATCATGTGCGAACCAAATTACAACACTACACTACGCATCATAATAGAACAGAGTACAGAACGCCAGTCAACTCTCTAACTCAAATTCTTCGACTTTGAAAAGGCCGGCGTTGACAGCGTCGATCGAGAAGTAATTTGCAAACTGCTCCAACACTACTGAACACCGCAAACCTTTATCAATCTCATTCAACAACTATATGAAGACGCCACATGCCAAGTAATTCACAATGGGAAGCTCAGTGATGTTTTTGAAGTGAAGACGGGAAGGAGTGAAACAAGGCTGCCCACTATCACCACCCATGATATTCCTGATTGTAGTGGACTGGATCATGCAACAGACAACTGTGAAGAGCGAGAAGAGGGAGATACGCTGCCTGGACTGGGGAAAAAATCCTAGAAGATTTGGATTTCGCCAACCATGACTTGTGTCTAATGTCTTGTGGCACAAACTTGAAGATGTACAGGCGAAAACTAACAAGTTGACAGAAGAGGCGAGGCGAGGCAGGGCAGGGCAGGGCAGGGCAGCGAAGACGGGACTTGCTTCAGGTGAACGTAGAGTAGATAGAGGTGATGAAGATACCCAACCAACAACAACAACAAGAAGCTGCAACCACCATCAATGAGAGGAACTTGAAGGAAGTAGCGTCCTTCATCTATCTAGGCAGCACTGGCTCAACTACAGGTGGCACAGGCACAGACGAGGACGTCAAAGCCAGTCAGGATCGGACAAGTAAGACAGGCCTTCCTTCATTAACCTGAAACCAGTGTGGAGATCCTCTGCACTGCACTGCACTGAGCATAAAGCGTGAACAACATCCAGATTTTCAACACCAATGTCAGTCAAGTCAGTGCTCCTGTATGGTTCAGAGACTTGGCGCATTACGAAAGGGATTTCCAACAAACTACAGACATTCATCAACAACTGCCACCCACGCTGGTTCCTTACTGAAGATCAGATGGATTGCCAGAATAGTAAGAATAAACAACAAGGAACTCTGACTGACTGGCAACGAACCAACGAAGAAGCTATCGCTGAACAAATATGCACTGGAAGGAAGTGGAGATGGATTGGATTGGGCATACACTGAGAAGGCCGACTGGGGACATCACGCACCAGGCCAGGTAGTCGAGTGGAATGCAGATGGGAAGCGACGAGTTAGGTGTCATAGGTAGGGGTGACGTGGAGGAGATCGTGTGAGGAGGAAATGAGAGCTTGTGAGCAGTTGTGGAACCAGGTTGAAAGGATTGCAGAGAAGAGATTGGAATGGAGGCGTGCTACTGAAGTGGTATGTTCCATTAGGAACCCAAAGGACAAATAATAAATAATAATAAGTTATTATTATGTACTGACACAGTTCAGTTCAAATTCGAGGGAGACCGCTTACGACAGATTGATGGCGTCGCGATGAATACTTCGTTAGGACCATTGTTAGCCGATGTATACATGTCATATATTGAAAAGTGTTGTGATGCCCGAGTTTCGTATAAAACATTGTTATTGATCTGAACATTTCAACGTGTCATACCCGTACCATTTTTATGGTATGACTAGTAGTAAATCGCTAATTGGTTAATCTTTACTCTTACTATGCAAATGCCTCAAATTGAGACCAAGGTCATTTTTCATGTATGTACTTATTCACGTGCTTCGGGATTGATTTATTATTATATTCTCGGAGTAATAAACTCTCCCATCTGCCAGCTTCGGTCTTCTCTCTATTCATCCCGGGGTTGCAGTCAGTGGCACTGGCATACTAAGTTAGCTGTCACAGCTAAGCGTGCGTATTATATCCGTTCCGGAATATATATATAACCATTAGCGTTTCGAAAGCATAACAAAAGATTTTTGACGATCTCATTAGAAGAGTTTCACTCCATAAGAGATATGTTGATGAGACAACCACTAACATGTGAAAAGCTCGATGATCAGATGTGCGTGCTGGAGAACATGAACAGGGTCCAAAATCACATTAACCTTACTTGTGAAGAAGACCGTACAAACAGCTACCATTTTTAGACACATTACTTAGTCAAAGAGAGAATGGCTCGATTACAGTGTCGATCTATAGGAAGCCTACGTGAACAGGGCAATCTCTTAGTTTCCATAGCTATTGTCCACTCCAATATAAACTGGGTTTGGTTAGGTTTTTATCCGACGGGATAGATCGCATCTGCACCGATGAAGTAGCATTCCGTTCCTAAGACAATCACCATTTAAAGGTGATTCATATAGCTTTATTGTGAAATAAGCTTAGATCAGTCATCTGTAAAGCATATTATGCAGCCAAGATGATCACTGTAGAGAAGATAAATTCTCTGTTATGACAAAATCCAAAACAAGACATAAGCGAGTGCATCAAATCCCACTCCGCTTATCAATCAATTAACATGTATGTGTGGAAACATGTACATAGGAAGGAATAATTATGATATGCAGTTAGGGAAGCTTGAAAATGTACCTAAGTGACTTGCAGGTTTGTGGGGATTTATTGATTGACCTCAGGTTGGTATTGATTATGAAGTGACCCCAACCTGAGAAACCTTGAGAACCTGGGAGCACTGGACACCTATTTCATCCTAGTATCTTAGCGGTTTCAAAAACCAATCACCTCAACAGATCCGCTATGTGCAGGCGACAAACGTTCGTCTCCATCTACTGCTAAACACATACAAGAAGCTAGTTATTGACTGACTGACTGACAAAATCACATACGGCAGACATGAAAACAACTTTTCAAGTAGTGCATAAAAGTAGTCAGGGTGAATGTTTAAATCTATTGAAGCTCTGGTCATCCATTAACTCAAATCCCTTTTACACACCCACGCTGAAACTATCTTAGTCGTAGCGATTTTAATTTTCGAAACAAGAGTGATGTGATTTAGACTTCGTTTTTACTCCACCCTTCCTATTCTCATCTTTCCTACTAACTTAATCGACCCTCTTCGTAAATTTGCATGTAAGTAGTTCCACAAGTCCATGTGTGATCAGATTGCTTTAAATGTATTGCGCTAATACACCACATGTTTCAGATAATCTTCGTCTTCTCATTATGCTCTTTCAATTTATCAAACGGACTAATTATTTTCAATCTAAACTTACCTAAGTTCTTGTGTACTGTTAACTGAAATGACACCTTTCGACTAACTTAACCTATGCACTTGACTTCACAATCACTGAAGCGTATTCCGTAAATTAAATTATTCCATCTAATTGAGTCAATGCAATCTTTAAACTGATAAAGTTTGTCTCTGAGTGTGTTTTTTGGTTTGAATATCACCCTAATTTCAACCTTATAGAGAATCCTAAGTAGGGTTACCCTTATATGGCAACACTATACAGACCTTCCTTCTGAGTTGCATTGCAATCATAGTCCATGCCAATTACTAAGACGTAAAGCTTCTCTTATGTGTTTCATGTCTTCATTTAAACTCTTTGACTTACTGGATGAACTCCTAGCTCGACTACTGAAACATTTGACTAAACCTACCTTAATGACGTAAAGTGGGAAGAAATCAAGTTTTGATATCGATTGGTTTTTTTCAGATACCTGAGTTTAAACCACCGTCTTGTCTTCGTTTTACATTACATTGTAACATATTTAATTCTCCTTCATCATCCTCCAACTCGGAAGTAAATTTTATCTGTGAAGAAGCTCAGAGTAGACTCCCATGTCAAACGTTGCTATTATTTCATTTCAAACATGCTGTGACACACAAATACAAACTATACCAACTACGTCAACGTTTTACTCAGCCGCCAATATCTGCCATACTGTTCGATCAAATCTTGATTACAGTGGATCATCCATCCATCATGATTACATTTTCAAAAAGCTATACCTTTTCACCTGTCAATACAAATATCTCCTATGAATCGGGAACCGTCTTATGATTATGAACAATATGCTCTACTCAAAACGTGACCTAGTAAAATGATACGATATCACTATGTGCAATATCAAATAAACTAGTCTAATTAAAAGTAATAATAATTTGAGGAATGTATACAAGTTTTTTACTCAGATACATTTTCAATAGTGAAATTAAGGAGTTAACTAGTTGCTAAAACATAACATTTGTTAAGATATATTCAGAAAAACTACAACTTACTCGGAATCCTGATGTATTTAATCCAGGATTTGTACGACGAATATGCAATAAACTGCACACAGCCATTGCAGAAATGACAGAGAAAGCAAATCCAGTAAGTTCAATTAGATAAAATATATTATCAAACATTTGAAAGACTATTGCCAGAATCACCTATGAAAAAACAAACAAACAAACATAACCAACTAATTTCCAAAAGAGGTAAATAGATACATACGCACCACTTGTAAATAGTGTAAAACTTTGCCTTAAAAATAAACGTGAAACTACCTTTGCGGTTCACTTTTATAATAGTAAACTATCCAGAGAAGTAAACTCCAATACCACGTAAAGTTAAATCGAAGGAATATACAACAAAATAACATCTTCGGTTTGATGGGGACACTAGGTTGGACGATTACCGAATATTTCGTAGTGATGCGGTATCAAACTATTCGAAGGTTGGTCATTAGTTGAACTATGAACAAGATATAAATTACCAGAAATTGTCACTACTGATTTAATTAGTTTCAATGATGGCATTCGATTTAGGTATCTGTGATGCTTAGTCACACGATAGTAAGTTTACATTTATTATGGTCAGTAGTTTAGAGTGAAAGCTACATTACTTTGACGAGAAGGTTAGCATACACTATTCTTCTCAATAATGGTTTTGTAGTCTTCAACACTTTGAATGATGAAAAAGCATAAACACTGCACAGATTATTATTATCATTTGTCCCTTGGGTTCCTAATGGAACATACCACTTCAGTAGCATGCCTCCATTCCAATCTCTTCTCTGCAATCCTTTCAACCTGGTTCCACGACTGCTCACAAGCTCTTATTTCCTCCTCACACGATCTCCTCCATGTCACCCCTACCTATGACACCCAACTCATCGTTTCTCATCTGGGTTTCGCTCAAGTGACTGGCCTGGTGCGTGATGTCCCCAATCACCCTTCCCAGTGTATGCCCAATCCAATCCATCTCCACTTCCTTCCAGTGCATATTTGTTCAGCGACAGCTTCTTCGTTGGTTCCTTGCCAGTCAGTCAGAGTTCCTTGTTGTTTATTCTTACTATTCTGGCAATCCATCTGATCTTCAGTAAGGAGCCAGCATGGGTGGCAGTTGTTGATGAATGTCTGTAGTTTGTTGGAAATCCCTTTCGTAATGCACCAAGTCTCTGAACCATACAGGAGCACTGACTTGACTGACATTGGTGTTGAAAATCTGGATCTTGTTCACGCATTGTGCTGAGTGCAGTGCAGTGCAGTGTAGATCTCCACACTGGTTTCAGGTTAATGAAGGAAGGCCTGTCTTGCTTGTCCGATCCTGACTGGCTTTGACGTCCTCGTCTGTGCCTGTGCCACCTGTAGTTGAGCCAGTGCTGCCTAGATAGATGAAAAACACTACTTCCTTTAAGTTCCTCCCATTGATGGTGGTTGCAGCTTCTTGTTGTTGTTGTTGTTGCTGTTGTTGTTGTTGTTGTTGTTGTTGTTGTTGGTTGGTTGGGTATCTTCATCACCTCTATCTACTCTACGTTCACCTGAAGCAAGTCCCGTCTTCGCTGCCCTGCCCTGCCCTGCCCTGCCTCGCCTCGCCTCTTCTGTCAACTTGTTAGTTTTCGCCTGTACATCTTCAAGTTTGTGCCACAAGACATTAGACACAAGTCATGGTTGGCGAAATCCAAATCTTCTAGGATTTTTTCCCCAGTCCAGGCAGCGTATCTCCCTCTTCTCGCTCTTCACAGTTGTCTGTTGCATGATCCAGTCCACTACAATCAGGAATATCATGGGTGGTGATAGTGGGCAGCCTTGTTTCACTCCTTCCCGTCTTCACTTCAAAACATCACTGAGCTTCCCATTGTGAATTACTTGGCATGTGGCGTCTTCATATAGTTGTTGAATGAGATTGATAAAGGTTTGCGGTGTTCAGTAGTGTTGGAGCAGTTTGCAAATTACTTCTCGATCGACGCTGTCAACGCCGGCCTTTTCAAAGTCGAAGAAGTTGAGGTAGAGAGGTGACCGGCATTCCACACTCTGTTCTATTATGATGCGTAGTGTAGCGTTGTAATTTGGTTCGCACATGATTTGTACTTCCTGAAGCCTGCCTGTTCCGGTCGTAGTTTTGAATCCAGCGCATCCTAAACAGTGTACAGATAAACATGATATAATGTGTGTCCAGCAGATATGAGTGTAACTTCGCTGTTCAATAATGTTTCATATTTGTGGGCACTATTCACATTTTGATTACAGTTTCATCATATCTTCTGTAATATGTTCGTAGTTCATCCAAAAGACTTTCAATCACTTTGGAATCGCCCTATGGAAGCAATCTCGGTTCTACAAAGATAGAATAATGACAGGCAGGCACAGAAACAGACAGACAAATCGAGATACAACCACTAGCACAGGTGCAACGACTCAAGTTGCCACGCTTTACAGTAGTACACAAAAAACACATGGATAGAAGAGTGATATCAAAGTAGATGAATTTGTGTGAGAGAATAAGCAGTTTGAGGATAACAGTTAGCGTGAATATTCAAGCGTTAGAAGAGATCAAGAAGTGAATACACCTGGGCCGTCGCGACTGATTTTCAGCCATCTCACCAAGGATCCTAAACCACTGATTCATTTTGTCTCGGGAACACTAACCAGACAGTCTACGTTGCCCCATAAGACTCACATCAACGGTCAGAAACTTTATTGATTGAGGGCATGTGTTTGTCTCAGCAACCTGAACCCTCTTCCAATATAACTGGGCTTGCTTGAGCACAGCAAGTCGAGGAAGGCGGTGGATTAGCATGTGCAACACGTGTTCAAGCGATCTCGGTCAATTAAAGTTCACAACTTCATCAATCGACTTGTCTATCTTGCCTAGTACCCTTCATCTGACTTCAATATTGCTCACACAGTGACTCCAACAAACATGAGCAATGCTACGAAGACACCTGTGATCAAAAACCTGTAATCACTTCATATCTTCTACTTTCCACGGCCATGTCTGACAGCCGTACAATAAGAATAAACAGTTTGCAACGCATTAAACTTGTTCATTGATGGATAGTCGGACATCCCGCTAGTCGACGCCAAAAATGATACTAGTTGGCAAATATCGAACAGCCTTTTGTGAGTTGAGAATTCTTCAGCAATCAGCTCTTTCAGGCTGATGCATACCCTCGAGTAAGTGAAGTGGTCGACATATTCCACCACTTCATTCCCTGTCATAAAACTGCGAGTGGTTCCAGACCAGTTCTCGAGCATCATCTTGCATTGGACAGACGCCAGCGAAACGCATGGTCAAACATACATTTCCGCTCAACGCATTTACAAGACCCTGCATTTTCTCAGCGTCTTCACCAACCATATCGTCTTCATGCACCAAGTCAACCTGATTACCTCTAGGGAACAGATCAATCCTTGTGATGAATTATAAGTGATCTCCACTGACTAGTTTGTATCATCGATCGTCCTGGTTTGCAAGAAGGGAAGAAAGTTATTTTGTGAAATACTACAGTAAAATTAGGTCAACCAAAATAGTTTCTAGAGATTCTAGATTCTTTAAACTTCCCACACTCATTTAAAGCTGGAAAACACCAAACCTCAGAGAAGGAAGAAGAGGAGTCAGGTTTCGCACCTTGAAATGGATATGTCAACCAGATCACACTTTACACGATCAGAGAACTTAGTCACATGTACAATAGCACCATACTCCCATTGTTCCAGGTCCTGTGCCAGTTACTTTCACTGAAAGAGTTCATCATTGTACATAGCCACTGAAGATGTAGAAATATCGAAAATTACAGGTTTTATTTACAATTCAGTCTTTCACTCTCCTCTCCCTTTATAATCTTTATTTTATGGAAATGATAACATCATTATTTTCATTTTTTTTGTCTTCTCTCATTGTTGACTTTTGGTTTTCCTGGTGTGAAATGTGGCAACCTAGACAAATATACGATCGATACTGGATGATGATTGAAGATGAAGTGAAAATATGGACCACGACAGAATTCGAACCAGCGACCAACGGGTTGGAATCCTGCCACTGCCCAAATTTTCATTTCACCTTCAACCATCAACCAGTATCAGCTCAAATCTGCCAAACCATGGTTTTGTCAGTCTAAATTATAATAAATCTACAATTACATCAACTCCTAGGTTCTACATCTGTCTGGCTGAAAAGTTATCCCTAAGGATACAGATACTTGAGATGGAAATTTTAGAACATACAATCATCGGATCACACACACAGTAGTTATATTATAAAAGGAAAAAAAATCATTCAGTGATTCACTTACCACAGCCAACACAGATGGAATAGGGGTTAAACGATCAATATTAACCATTGAAAGAATAGCAGGCATATGTCCTTCTTCACCAGCAGTAAATGCCAGTCTGAAATGAAAGTCAGTGTATGCATTAGATGCAAACAAAAGTAGTAGGCAATTCAAATTTATTCAAATCTGAAAATAATTTCTCAAAGGTGTAACGGTTACAAGGAGACTTTACACTTGGTGTTTAATAATCTAGTCATTTTTTGTCATTGTCTGTGTATTCCTTATGTTACTTATAGTAATTCTGGCACTTAAAACCCTACCCATTAAAAATTTTGCAGACATAAAGTTAGAAAACTTAAAGCGGAAGAAATGGTTTCATTATCTAGTGATTAATTAATTATCTACAGAATTACATAAATTCTAAATATTTAAGGATGAATTGTGAAAAGTGTATTTTCATTTAACTAATGAACTTTTATTCAATGGATGCTACACGAATAATTGACATTTATCTTTCTGATGTGGATTGCGTGTAGAAAAAACAGTGAAGGAAGGTACCATGCAGTCATATACAATACATTCTGAATACACAGTTCAGGTTTAGTCAACGTTATGGCGATAGCCTCAGCTATGTTGAGCAGGTATCGCAAAGCAACATGTGGTATTGTTTTTGAGAACTATGCCGTATGACATTTAAAGCTTTATTGGCAACTACATGATGTCCTGTGTCTATTAGGTGCCTTAGGATCCAATGTTTCACCACTTTCACTTCCTCTTTTTCAAATCAAGCGGCTTAATGATGTCGTATCATGTCATACACCGTATTTCAAAAAGAATACCACGTGTAGCTAGCCAACACCTGCTAAACATAACTGAGGCTGTCACCGTATCAAATACAGTCAAATACTATTTCCCTCAGTCATAGTGATTATCATAGACATTTAAATTTATGTAAATATTTTCAATTTAAAAATGGGTCATCTATTCACTTGTATTGGAACATACTAGGGACGGAGAATAAATGTCATCATTTCATGTGAAACCTGTAATTCATGCTATCATTGGAAGTAATACGATATGCGTTTAATTACTTCGACAGTTCAAAACAGATCTTTCATATTTCATTTGGAGGCTTTCAACATGTGATAGGTTTCAAGCTGGTATTCATCATGGACTGATATTAGTTGACTGAAATCAATACGATTTGATTATTCCAATGTCGGGTAGAAAACACCCGTCACCGGGATCGGAAGACCAAGGGAAAGGGAGGAGTATGTTATTTTCGGGGCCAACGTTTTCTAACCTCCATCCTTCCGATAGAGAATGGAGCACCAGGATTTTACTGTCAGTCATCCAATGAAAAATATCTTGCTTCTTACAACCAGTCAAGCCAGCTGTAAAACTTCACTCTCCAACCAGAGAAGCAATTTACACAACAACGATAAACGCTTCTCTTATCAATATCCAACAAACCTATCTGGCAGGGCAGGACCTCAAGGAAACAAGTGTTCCAGTTAGAGTAGCCCATTGGGTCGTTGGGCCATGCAAGCGTGATTACCACACGTCAGGGTAGCAGCCGTCAGTCGAACTGGTGCGACTGGATAGCAGGTTCATGATAAATGTCAGGAGTGATAAGTAATCAACGGCTGACATAAAATCCGTCAATTCATGGATAATCAGGGAACAAAAGTATAGAGAGAAAGAGTAATGCAGAACACAGAATGGAACATTGATTTAATCTTCAAAACTTCTCCCCAGTGTGAGGGAAAAATCAACAAAATGAGTCACATCTTAGATGAATCAGCATGTTGCACTTGAATGACCAGCACTGAATAATGACTAGACTATGAAGAAAAGAAGTATTTTAATAAGCTGTATAGTGGTGACCATAACGCCTCTGATTTATTGTAGTTTTAGGAAAAATACGCAAAGATATCAGTAACTTACCGAGAAATCGAAAATACTTCCCCATTTATACTGCCGAAAACAGAGGCACCAACAAGGGCAGGCATTACCAGACCGAAAACTCCCATACACCTTGTTGCGAAACTCTATTAAATATCCAGAAATGAAGAAACAGGTTTATTTTCATCAAAAGGTTTGCAATATACATATATAATTACGAAATATATGACACTATATAAAACCCTATCACTAACGAAAAGCCACAAATGGCGCCTTCAAAAGTGCTTACATGAGGCCATATACGAGGAAGAGTTGATGACAAAGCATAAAATCTCCAAGGCATACAGTATCTGTATATGTACACTTAAAATTAGATAGACTATGGGACATTAGCTGAGTAAATGGTACCTGCTAAAGCGTAAAGAATATGTTTAAAGAATACAGATCTTTCTGCAATACAGCAATATTACTGCTCTAGAAAACCTTTAGTCGGGTTTTAAAAATTTAGTCAGCAATACCAAAATGGACCCAGGTAGATGTACTCACTTGCATGGATCTTTCAGCATCTATGTCTAGCTTTGTGTTGAATAGTATGTCATTGGTTTTACTCGGAGAAACTATTCAACCAGTGTTCAATAGTTCAGACAATAACCGACAAGCTAAATAACACACTGATAACAATGGATATTACTTTTGAGTATTGATTTCAGTAGGGGTGGATATGTACTGAATAAAGACAACAGATGCTTGAAAGGTATATACGGTAGCTTTCTTTTACTGCATAATTTCAACTGCCCTCAAGTTATTCGGACACTAATAACGCAATTTTTATTCTGTAAAATTTGCTTCTTAACGAATTGTTGGGTTTCAGCTCGTACTTTCTGTTCTGACCTGCTCTCAGAAATTGAAAACAACACATTACTCATTTCGCAAGAGGAAAGTGTACCTATGAGCTACATCGGACAGATTCTTGTCTGTCTAATGTTTCGATTTCACCATGACCGACCACACTGGATGTCGACTGGTTGTATACAGAATTTGGTTTAGAATATAAGGCCACAACTACAGGCATACAGTTTTATGTTATTCATAATGATTAGATAAATATTTCAACACTAAACAGGAATACTCACCACAGCTATAGCAGCAGATCCTTCTCCTGAAGCAAGAACTTCTGTAGGTGACAGCACTGTCAGATAGGCCACATTTGTCAAAATATAAATAATTGTTACTGTCGTAAGGGAAAGGACAATCACAATTGGAAGTGTCCTTCATAAGAAAAATATACACACATTTGTTAACAATTGGTTTGTTGATAAATGAAACTATGAAATGCAGTGTGTTTGTAACTAAAATGCCATAGGGACTCACCCTGAAATCATTGTTCATACGCTTAGGCCCTATCCATCTACTCCAACCTAAATCGCAGCATCATACAGTCGGTGTGGCTCGCAGTCTATTAAAAAGTCTTAGATAAGGCCATTGACCTTCACTTATTCTTAGGTATTACTACCGAACATAACTGATAACAAATTAGGTAAACGTCTTTCAGCTACAGATATAAAGCCCGTAAAATAATGCCCGTTAGAAGCAGATATGCTTCGGTTTACAAAACGAAACTCTCCTCATTTGTACTCTTAAGACAGCTTAGATGCCAGAAGTATAAGACACATTAATTATCTATACAGCACAGATCACACGTCAACTTCTATGATTTACCTTTATCACTAGCTTTTCTGAAGCGCATCATTTTTTACCGACTGAGACAAGAAAGTCTATATTATGTAATTTATAGTTCAAATTTTGGTATCAGGAAGTTACTGGGTGTCAGTCAAAATTATGCATAGGGAAATAAGACTATAGTTGTGGTCTAAAAAATAGTGGAGACATGCATCTCATGGTCAATCTGCATTAGCGACTTTAATCCATTATTTATCTACCACCGTGAATATTTAAAATCTGGGTAGCTTTACGACGTGGATATCACGTTGAATACTCTCGTTTGCTTCTGTGTTATTTCAAAGTTTGACAGCTTGAATGGGTGTACGGTGTCACATTTTGTCATTGTTATCAGAGTATTCAGATTCTTATCGAAGAACATATTATCACCCGACTTGAAAAATAAGGCCATTAGACGTGGAAATTCAAATGGTAAGCATATGCGGCCAATCGATACATGTATATGCTCATACTCTGAGTAACTTACTAATATTCTATTGCTTCTTAACTATCATGACGACATTTTAACCGTTTAGTAATAGCTTAGTGATAGGGATTATGACAAATATCTCTAAGAAAAGATTGAGTTAGTCGTAAACGCGGTTAGGTTGGCAAATTGACTCTATTTATTCTTTGGAGTAAAGTCCAGTAAAACATTAACCTTACAAGTCACTTTGAAAGATATAAACACCTCTTTATCATACAACAATATGAGTACCTAAAATGAATTTCAGCTAAGAACTGAAATGTCATCCCTATTTGGCATTTAGTAAAGACTGTTCACGATCTGTGGGCTTAATGGATTTCAAATGCACAAGAATGAAACATATAATTTAAAATAATAGTAGCACTTTTATTACGACGTTACTCAGTATTCAGGACTAGCGCTGCATTACTTGGTGAACTTAATGACCGAAAAGCTTAGGATGACACTCAAATATTGAGCAGTTATGGAAAATTAGGAATTTATGGAAGTAATATGTACACAATAGCACCTACGGAAAAGTCTTTTACAGTATCACTCAAAGCAACTTTTCTTTGATAAAGTATTGTGATGTACTACCCAGGTTTTGGCGATGAAAACACTAGTCGTTACAAAAATGTAATGTATTGTGTTAGGAACAAACAGTGTCATTAGAATCCAAGCGTTTTACACAAGTAATACCACTTATGGAATCAAAGCAATACATGAATCTGAATGTATCAGTTAGCGAGATTTCAAACTTTTTAAAATTTCCAAAACACTGATCAACAACGATCTGAACGGAGAATATCCTTCTTAATAATTTTTCATCAGGCTCTACAGTTATAAAATGCATTTGTACAGCTTAAGTTTGAGGCGAATACATTTTGAAAGTGGATTTCGATGTACGGGCTGTACGGAAGTCGACTTTTATTTCTGAATTTGTCAGTAATAGGGTGATGTATACAGATGGAGAATGTGATGGTAAACGAAAAGATAACGGATAAAGAAGACAGGAGTGGGCTTAGTTTACTCAAAGCAGAGAGAAATAATGCTTGAACATGTTCTTTCTGCATTTGAAGTTAGGGTTTGATCAATCTTATTGCGCCAACCTCAGCTGTGTTGAGTGGGCGTTGATGAGCTACATATGACACCGTTTTTGGAACAAGTGTGATATCATGGCCTTTATTAGCGTCTATGTGATATCTCGTGTCTACAAAGGGATTAAGACAGAACTTTTCACCACTTTCGTCCCATCTTTTCCAAACCAAGTTGGTAAATGCTCTTGTATCCGAAGACGCATTTTGTAGAGTAACAAGACCTGAATATTAATCTTTTCTGAATATCTACTTAAGCATGCTTAACTTCTGGGTCTATACAACTCATAATTATTGGAATGAATTTATACTATGAACAACAGATGACTCAAAGCACAAATCACCTACTTGTTACGAGAAAATTGAGAAAAATGGAAGCGAAAAGCGTTTCCCAAAGTGGTTAGTACAGTTTGTACAGATCAAATGCAGTTGAATGTAAAGAGGCTTGTGGCACTGTCCAAGAGTAATTTCGGCAAAAAGAATACCCAACAGCTATTTGAGAGTCAATACTGTATACTGGTTTTATCAATCTATTTAATTTTTCACAGGGATGTGACTCAGGTTTAAGAGCTCGTCTTCCAAGTAATATGTTTCGGGGTCAAAACGTGATACAAGTTATTTATCATGGACGGACATCAGTTAGAGAACCATTGGAAACCTGGGAGCACTGGACAGCTGTTCTGTCTGTGTGCCACTCCTCAGCGATGTGCACCCATGACCTAAACAGGTGAGGGACCCAGGACCTTCAGGTTTCGCGTAAACCACGTTACCACTGAGCCACATGGTCGGAATATAATGGTCCCCATTTTTCTATTTCTGTCGATTCGCATATGAGCAGGTCACATTTCCTTAGTAACTGCTTCTGAGCTGAATGTCTTGTGCATATAGCTTATTGAATACAAACGTGGTTAAGTAAATTAAGAAAACGAAACTGATTACAATTACCTTGCAGGATTTTTAACCTCTCCAGTTAGGAAGTTAAGATAATTCCTGTAAGACAGAATACAAAAATATTTGAAAAGCATTATCGAACTCGTGGTGTTCCGTTTAGGAAAAATGTGTATCCTATATAAACTTAATATACAGAATAAATTACAAGTAACAAAAGTTTTCGGAATAATAATTCAAGTTCACCTAAGAAAACTTATAAGCTTTTGCTTTTGTAATGTTGACGATAATGAGGAACTAGACGGAAATTTATCATCAATACTACCAAAGTATGGTATGTTTCATTAAAAGGTTCCATATTTTTAACCAGTGTTTTTAATCTTAAATATTTTCGTTATCAAAGGAGCGTATACTTCCTTAAGAAGCTCAAGATTAAAACTAAAATGCTTATTAATTAGTTCAGAATAATATCCACATTATGTTAGTTACTACAAGTATTGCTTGGTTTAGCTGGTCTATTCATGAAAATTGTCGATGTTTATGTTCACGGCATCAAACTTCTGGCTCTTTCACCAAACTACTTGCGTAATGACGCGGAAGATTAGAAGGGTATCACCTTCATCTAATTAGTGCAACAAGCTGGTGCGTTACATGCACTGTGAACTATAGATCTAATGCTGATGACAGCATGTTGTACATATGGCAGTCATACTTGTGAAGTTTAGGACATGCAATACCCTGAGTTACCTTGTTGGTTCAGCTGACTAAAGTTGTGTTAATTACGTTGGGTCCCACTACCTCATTCCTATTTGTAGATATCCAAGGGATTTTCCATGAGTAATTCGGAAACTGAATATTACTGGCGATTCTCCAGGAGCTAAACTGAAAAATATACCCAATACCAGACTTCGGGAAGATCAGTTGGCTAAAACTGTCTATTAACAAATGTGTTTTACCCTAACATAAGTAAATGGCCTTTATTTAATTATTGAGATCACAGAAAAATACTGTACAGTGGTTGAATGAATGTCAAAAGTTTGATTTATGCTTTATCAGAAACGATGGCATTTCTTTCAGTAAACTTAAGCTGAGTTTCGCTCCCCAGGCACATAAGACTTCGCTTTGGTTGAGTTTCACCTCCCCATAACCGAAACAATATTGTTTTCTACTGTTATTCTAGATGTAAGTAATATTAGTTGCGCATAACCCTTTTATCTTGTTAAAATAACTAGTACAACCAGTGATTAGGCAACTTTCGAAACTAAAATAAAACAAAATGTATCAAATGGCATGACGCAATGACTTACCAACCAGAAAAGGCCCAAAAACCTTGATAAAACGCCAACGCGAGCGCCCCAGGTGATTTTTCACTATCCTCAAATGAGTTATTGAAACTCTCAGTGTTACCTGTTTAAGATAAGAATAGCCAGTCATAGTGCAAAATTGTCACTTTATCCAAATTTTATCCAAGCACAGTGATCTTACCTAGGGCTAAGTAGTAGAAACCAAACCCAATAATAAGCAGTAAAGCTGACACTTTACAAGCAGTGAAGAAGATAGATATTTTTGTCGCCAATTTGACACTAAAACAGTGTATAAAGCAAAGGGTCACTTTATTGATACATGAATTTAAACGGATAACTCACAAATTCCTAAAACTGCAACCATTCGGACAGCATAAGTGGGAGTAGTGCAACTCATGTATATTGGTCGAAGGATATAGTCAGCAAAAATCAGGCCATTGGCTGCGCAACTTGCGGACCCAATGACTACAAACGTGATCCAAAAAGCAAGGAAGGCAGGTAGAGGTCCAAACGTCTGGAGGATGTATATATATTCTCCTCCAGATCGAGGAATTGTAACACCTAATTCGGCATACACGATTGCACCTTCACCAGCGTAAGTACACAAAATGCAGCCCTACCTAGTGCGCTAAATACCCCAGTTACGGTCCATAAAATGAATGACAGTCCAACGGACTTGGTATAGGTTAAAACTCCAACAGGTGAGACAAAAATCCCAGATCCAATAATTACACCAACAACAATGCTGACACCTTGTAACACTGATACTTCCTTTTTAAGTGTTACCGACTGACTTGGATCGGTTTCCTTAGCCTTCTTCTTGAAGAACCCCATCGAAATCTGGAGCACGAAAACAAGTGCAGAATGTTTGAAAAGTTCACGTAAAGAATTGCATGTAAGTGAAATTTCAAAACTATGTTGCTCACAGTGTCCAATGACTGATAACTAGCTTTACCACCTAAAAGTTAGATTAGGAAGCTAAATGCATTAAAAATCTCTATTACTTCTCGGTATCTCACAGACATATCAAAATTTTAACAACACCTTGTTGGCTGCGAGGAAGAGAAGTTTTCAGGAGTGTATTTGCTAAGCGAAGTCGTGCTTTTTTGCTTCCTCACGTAAATATTTCACATGGATGATATGATCACAACCCCCTCACATAAGGGATGCTTCTAAACAATAAGGTCATAGGACCTGTTTTGCGATTCATTCTCTATTTTTGAAACACAGTTTGAGTTTGGCCTCACAAAAGCTTCTTATAAGTGGAAGGCCAGCAAAAGATAAATTTCGAACAGTTGCATGATTGAGACGTAGTAAATCCAACAAAGACCTTCCTTGTTCCTAAATAACATTCCTTGACCGTCTCCACTGCTCATACTGAAATGTCTGCTGATAAATCTGTGTGGCGTCACACGCTTCTACAGAATCAATAGTCTTGGGTTCGACGAGATTCAACATTGATGCTGACCTTCATAGTTCTATCCGACTATTCGTCTAGTCTTTGCCACTGTCTATGCTTCATGTAACCTATGTTGTATGAAATATGCATTATTATTAATATTAAAAATATTATTAAATATTAAGCTGAGCAGCATACATAGGTCACATATCTGTTCGACAAAATCCATATGTGGTAAAAGATGAAGATATGCTAGTGGGACAGTCTCGGTTTTAACTGTCCTCATTGAGGCAGGTCAGTTTTACCCTTCCCGCGCTGGCTGGTTGGACTATGGCTGAAAAACGTGTGCAGCCTCTTCTGCGCACCCACTGAGGCATTGCACCTACAGACTGTACTAAATCGTACCGACAGCTAGTCACTACACGCCTCTTGAGTCTTCTTTTCTTGTTTATCTTGAATATTCCATGTAAGTGGTATTCAGAAGTGCCTATTACTGTTGCAGTTGCAGTGGGACGGGTTCACCGTTTTTATTTTCTCGCCAAAAAAGTTTTATAAAAGCCCCGTAAAGATTAATAGCTGGTTCTATTACGTCGTCCGGTAGTTGTATATTCTGTGTCAGTTATGGTGTCTAATATTCCGGATAGGGATAGGGGAAAGGTATCAAAGTTGTATTTCCCGAATCTCATGGTAATGTCCGGGAAGTCCACTCAGCGCATTCTAACGAGTTTACTGCTTCTGGATGCCGGAGTCAGAAAAGAGAAGATATTTGGCTCTCAGTAATAATACTAATGATATTTATTCCCGAACATACAGGCACACACCAGTTTTACAGGTATCAATAAGTTTGTGTGTAAATTACATGTATCTTTATGGAAGGTAATCTCAATTCCCACCTGTTGCCACTAGAAGATATAAGTGCTGCAAATTCATATAATGGAACATCCCAGCAGAATAGGTATGCAGAAAATCTACAAGTTGGACAAGTGGAAGTATTGTCTTCGCAATGACAGAAAACCCGGGTTATATCTCGACACTACAGGTATTACCCAGAGAAGAATAAAGCTTGAATTTAATACTCCCATTGTAACAGTTTTTACTTTTTGCTTGAGATAATGGCGAGAAGTTTATGAAGGAACGTATGCACGAATTGTCTACATATTGTACTTTATTGATGGTTCCAGGACTGTATAATTCATGCATGCTGATACCATTCCACGACAAAGATTCATAATCCTGATGAATATTATGACCAAAAGCCAAATGTCTTCACTTTTCCAACTCCAGCATCCAGAGGCAATAGACTTGTTTGAATGCACCAAATGGGCTTCCAGAACATCTTGTCCTTCGTCTTCACGGGTAGTGACAGCCTTGCAATTGGTAAGTGTTGGACTTTGCTGGTCACTTTTATAATGAGTTAATCCTAGATTTCGATAACTGTGAAGTCGTAGTCCAGTGAACATTTTTATTTCTGCTCGTTGCAGTTAGGTATTCTGAACGTGGTAAAACTAGTTACCCTCCATGAAGGGTAGTTTCAGCCATGGTGTGTTCCTTAACTAATTAGTTCTCGCTGGCAACCAAGATTACGAATCTCTGACGTAGAATGGCATTAACGTGCATGAATTATACAGTCCTGGAACCATCAATAAAGTACAATATGTAGACAATTCGTGCATACGTTCCTTCATAAACTTCTCGCCATTATCTCAAGCAAAAAGTAAAAACTGTTACAATGGGAGTATTAAATTCAAGCTTTATTCTTCTCTGGGTAATACCTGTAGTGTCGAGATATAACCCGGGTTTTCTGTCATTGCGAAGACAATACTTCCACTTGTCCAACTTGTAGATTTTCTGCATACCTATTCTGCTGGGATGTTCCATTATATGAATTTGCAGCACTTATATCTTCTAGTGGCAACAGGTGGGGATTGAGATTACCTTCCATAAAGATACATGTAATTTACACACAAACTTATTGATACCTGTAAAACTGGTGTGTGCCTATATATTCAGGATTGAATATCATTATATTTCGGATATCGTTTACTGCAAGAATTATGCGCCAGTTTCGAAGGCCCGATCATTTCGTTTGCCGATGGTCAGCGTGAATAAACAAAAGATAAACTAAAACCGGTCCGGGGTAGCTTTTCCAGTAATAGTTCATCGTGGATATGTAGAAGTAGGCAAGTGTCTTCATGAATTTCCATCACACCGCACGCTACCAATAATGTAGTATAATACTAGAATATGAAGTACACTGGTACCCACCAAATGTTTCCGCATTTTAGCCACAAAAGACCGGCAAATAGTTAGGAGAACCTGGCGGGCTAGTGAACACTATCGCTGTGGCCTAAAGACAATTTGGAAGAGGAATACGGTAAAACATGAAGCACACGTGCCATGATAGTTTTCCACATAGGACCAGAAACTCTAATGTGTAGGCCAGATCGGGCGAAATTACTAGAACTTTCGAGTAAATTAGGTGGTGCTTTACAGAGGAAACCTCGTTGTGCCCTTCTACTTCCTTCTCATAGCTTGGTAATCTTAAGCGTCTTGATGTAACAGTCCATTCACATCATTATTTTTTGTTGTGTTTAAACAGTGTGTAGCGGAAAGCGCACGGTTGCTATACTGACCTTTGATGGAACTTGAGATATTTTTAACACCAGAATAAAGGTTCTATGAGTTATTACCAGTTATACAGAATACTCTGGGAGACAGTCCTGAAGTCAGTCTAGTCCTCTTTGCAGGATTTGGAACATGGTGGAAGCTCGTTGGGCTACCATATGCCAATACTCCCACGTTACAATACCAACTGACATTTTGCATCTCGTAGATTTCCGTGACGACTGGATTGGCGCCCTTTTCTTCTTCTGAGTTCTGAACAGTCTTGCTGCCCACTCTTTTATTCTGCTTTTCCCTCTGGTTGCAAGTCGGGATATGGGGGCATTCAGGCCGGTGGTTCATTGCTCCTAAACGTGAGACCTATTTAAAAGAGGCTATTTCGACTCCATGACTAACAGATCTAAGCCGCTAGCAATTTTAAGCCACGTGCACTGTCAGTTTCTCATGCCACTTTTGCCCCAACAGCAAGAAATCATAATGGCGATTTGAGAACTCCAGGTAAGTATTTGATATTTGATTTCAAAAGTCACCGAATAGTAATGCTGATGAGGCACTGATTATGAATCGGTTGGGCTGAATAGTGGTCGCTGTCATATGCTTTGTAGTAAAGGCTCACAAGATTATACCAAAATACGGTAATGGTCGCCTGTAAACACCGAGATTCACGATTGTGTTGTGCTTTATTGTAAATTGATGAGACCATAAATGTGTGCAGAGAGGAAATTTCACGGAAAGCCAGGTCAAAAATAGCACAAGACTCCCGTTGCCAAACTAGGTCAATCAAAAATAATCATCAATAAATGAGCCGCATTATGTTATCCTCGCCATGTGACATGAAAAGCCAACTACAAAAAAGTGTTACACGCACGAATGGATTCCTTGAAGGTGAGCCAATGCAAGAGGACATTGTATGTTCTTGTCAGCTAGAAATAGGAACGCCGACTGTCTTCGGCTTACATTGAGGGGAGCCTTTTGACCTTTTAACCCTTGCTGGCTTCGTTTCTAACAATATTCAAGTGTATAATACTATCGAAAAATGTGCTCAGGCCTTCAGTCATCAACCCTCTCTAGAAGATCACGACTATCAGCGTTATGATAATGTATTTGTCATGCGGTCGACTGTTCAAGATGACTCCTGAATCGATCAGTTGAAGATAATCATGATAAAATGTTGGGAATCATTCTACAGGGAGCTCTAAAACTTTATTTCGTGCCTCTTGGGAAGAATAGGAAAGGCCTTTTCACAAATAATGAATTATGTGAACACATATCACTTTTACGGGCAATATCTAAATGTTGCTCATCAATTAAGGCTGCAAAAGTCCTGAAAGAGGCGAATCATCGTGCCATACGAAGAGTAAACAGTTGTTCAGACGTTGCTGGTTACAAACATTGGATAAAAGTGAGACTTTTAAACAGCAGTGGTGAAAATTAATGCGTGGTTTAATCTCTCATAATGAGAAGTATCCCGGAAATAGTGAGTTATGTAATCTATGAGAGCATATTGAATATGGAATGTTGAGAACAAATGAATCTGAAGCTATGTTTGTATTCAACAAGTTTGTAGTGCCCACGGATGGCAAGCGAAACTAGAGTTGAAAACCGGGCTGGAAGGCTGCAGTAAACTTGGGTTTGGCGTTATGTGGTGTCATGCAGAGTGTAGCAACTGTTTAGGTTTATACTTTTGTAAACAGAGTTGCTTCAAGGAACAAAATCGGAGATGCAACTCTATCCAGCTGCTGTTATCATATTACGGTGAAGAATATAAGGGATTTCATCATCAAACCTTCCAATAAGACTCCAAGGTTGGCGCGTCATATGAAGTCACTTCCTGCTTTCTCCGTTTTCAGGGGAGTGGTTGTCAGGAGTAGAACTT